AGACAGATGACCCAAATTAACCAAACAGATGCTCCATACCAATGCATATAACCTTGTGCACAGTAATAAAAAGAGAAAAGAGTGGGTTCTACAAAGCTAACCATTTTTTGCTCAGAATTGGCTGGGTGTTGGTATACCCATGGGAGATACTGAGTGGTTGCCTTTGCATTGCTTGTTTTGTTATCTTTCTCTCTCTTTGCTTATTAAACAATTAAACAATTTTTATCTTGATCCACAAGTTTTATTGCTTTTACTCTTCCTTTCCTTTACTGTTTTTGCTCATCCTTTCCTCTTTCCCACTGGGGTGAGGGGGTGGGGAGCAAGCAAGCATCTGAGTGGTCCTTAGGTATCTGCTGGGGTCAATCCACAATGGACACAGTACATCAATTTAAATCAGTTTACAAGTTATGGACACCAAACTGACTTCTGTGGTGCAAAAGAACTCTGGGCTTTCAACATTTCTGAAAATTGTAAGAAACTGTTCCACAGTGAGATGATGTGTGTGGTTTGTATGCAGCATATTAATGATATTTCACAGTTGCCCTGGCCGATACTGTTCACAGACAAGTACATGATGCTTGGGTGTGATGCAGAAAGGTGAGACTTTGGAGTTCATGGTGCACATTGAGTCGAGTAATGTGGAGATAGAAGGCGAGGGTTGCTTTTTCAAAGCAGAATGGAGCTGTTTGGGAAACTGTCAAAAAAATATTAAATAACTAAAACTTACAAAACTACCCTGGGATGATCTGTCAAAAATCTGAACTTTGTCTCAATAGGTCAGTATTCTGTTAAAATGGAGTAGTTTTACCAGGAAAAAAACAGCTACCTTAGAATTGACTGTTGCAGTCTCACACACCAGTAAAAATGTCAGCAAATTAAGCATCAAAGTAAATTATTTCAAACAAATAAAGTACCATGAGAACTATTGATTGCAGCACTTTAAGGAACAAAATTTCCATGTTTATAGATGTGCCAGCTGCATAGTCCTTAAATATCCTGACTTTGTAGTACTTACTCATTTGCTACGTGTCATTTTATGATTATTTACTATAATTAGAAATAATCCTGACATGTTAGCTTTCTCCCCATGGTAAAATCTGATAAGGGCTTTCAGTGTTAGTCTGTTTTTGCTACTGTATAGGTGTAGAAAGAAAGCCTAAAGATTTGAACTTGAAAACTTGTAGTCACAGCGGGGCTGTCCACAGCAAAGCACAAGTTTGCATTCCTACCACATGCAGTAAGGTTTTCTCTATAGACTCCTGTCACAGAGGAATTCAGCAAGGAACAAGAAATCTTCAGTCAGAGGAGGGCCACAAGTGTGTGAAAAGCTAACCACACATAAACAGTTAAGGTCATTAGCAGGCTCCTAAACTCCTGGCTAGGAATTAGTTTTTTGGATCATTAACGATAAAAAAGCCTAGGAAATGAATAGGACTCAGTGTCCTATTAAAAATTAGCCAGAACAATTAAAAGGTTTTCTAGTTTTTAATGGGAACCAGATCTAATACCTTATTTTCCCTTGTCTAGTGGGCTGCTTCTGCATTTTGAATGACACTCACTTTATGTCCTTGTATTTTTAAAGAAATGTCTATAAGTATTTATTCTGGATAGGAGTTGTAAATTATTTACTATGAGGGGAGTGAAAGCTTGGGAGATGTTGAATCCAGTGTCTCCCTAAGACTGTGTTACTGATTCCAAGTCATGACTCTGAACTATTACAGTTGGTTGTGACTGGATTGCTTCTGATGTGTGCAAATATATACTCTGCAGACTCCTAATACAGTTGTTGCATTATGCAATTCCATGAGTTCAAATGCATTTGATTGCAAATGCACAGACGTTTTTCTTTGAGATGTCTTTCCCTACGGTGTTTCCCTAAACTCTGTTTCCTGATTTTAACAGCAGCCTTTCTGCTTTCATTTCAATGTAAATTCCTGGCTGCTGAGTGGATGACTGATGGCTATTTATCTTCTTCACTGTGTATTTTTCCTTAAGCCTATAGTCATCTCATGAGTTTGGCAAAAGAAAATAATAGTGCACCTTTAGTATTATAAAATGTAATTTTTGGAGATGTTTATTAAATACTTTCTTTATCTTTACATGCAAGTCTAACAAAAAAACCAAAGGGAGAGAGAGAGAGAAAGAAAAAAGAAGGAACAAAGAAATGTTTTACACTGTCTGCTTTGGCTGCAGGCCTGCCACTCTGGAGAAAAACATGCCCACTAATTCCCAAACTTTTTAACCCTATCATTGTTATATTCATTTCCCTCCCATATGCCTTAGGCTCTAATCTTACACTTACCCCTCTGGTAATAATCAAGGGAATCTATGGATACAAGCCATATGATTTTCCTGAAAGAAAAAAGAAAAAGAAGGAAAAAAAATGGGATGAGGGAAAATGGTCTGCAGATAGGGGAAACAAAAGGACCAAAGGAAGGTAGGACAAGATGTTCTTCCTCACAATGTAAATTTTGTACTGATCATTCATTTGCTTCATATACATAATTCCTTTCTGCAGTGAGTAAATTGCCCTGTCATTAACATAAAATTAGCTCCAAATTATCTTGGCCAAGAGCTTTGAAATATGTTAGTATAGAACCACACGCTCAAAACCATGTGAGAATCCATGTGGGTTTCCAGATGTGAGAATCTTTTGTGTTACAAATATAGTTGTGTTTACACAGTATAATCTGCTCTTTGGATATACTCTCAATGCAGCTGTGCTTCCAGTAGTGCTCTCTTATGTTATGCTCTTCCTGTGTGAACGCATCTTATTTCTTACAGTGAGTCCATGCTGATAATCACTGGTTTGAAACAAAAGCTATCCTGCAAATTAAAATACTTTTTCAAGAAATTGAAGGGTTTCAGCATGGGCTAGTAGGTTAGAAGTGAAAACTTGAAAAATTTCATGTTTCATTTTTGATTCATCATAATGTTTTGCTGCTAATTGTTTATTCAAGTTATTTTTGATTTACTTTTCATCAGTGAGTTCTTTCTGCACTAGGATTAAAATTTAGAAGACTAACTAAAATTTGAAGATGTAATATTTTACATGTTTTCTATGTTCCACTTAAGCTTGTGGTTTAATTTAATTTAGTTAATATTATCAAAAATAAATATATTGATACCAAGATTACTTGAATATCAATAAAATTAGCCAATTCTTGGTCATCTAAATAAAGATCTCTACCCATAATGATAGTCTGTCAATGCTCTTTTCCTTTTCTTTCTTTTTCCATATTTAAAAGCCCTCAACATGTTGATTTCTTTAATGCAGTTGTCTTCTGTTTTATGTGTAAGAAAGAAACTTGGAGTATTTTTGGGAAATAAATTGATTCTGCAGGAAAAGACTACTGGGTTAAATAACTCTATAGAGCTGAGTTTATGCACATCAGTTAGTGCCTGAACTGTACAGTATTCAGTCTGTAGCAGTGATTATTAGCTATTATTAATGTTTGACCATGTAAGTACAGAATGATGACTGAAGGTAACTTAAAATGTCATTCTTGTCCACTTTTTAGTGTCATCTTGTAATTTTTAATAGCCGTAAGTTTTTCAAAGAAATATTCCTTCTTTCCTGACTGAAAACTGTCCCCATTGATGAACATGAATAATCAGTTTTCAGGTGTAATCCATACACCCTGTGGTATCTTGGCTGTAGCCAAGTCATGTTATATATATCAAACAGAATAGTATGACTCCTGTAGTTGGATCAGAAATCCTCAGGGAAAAAAATATCAGCTAAACATCTGATACTGATCTCTCCTCTGAAATGACAGTAGCTCCATCCTCTAGCACAATGTAAAGTAGATTCTGCGTAGAAGTCATTGCACAATGAATAAAATTTTTTTTTATATAAATCACTGTAGCCTAAAGGTTCATTAGTATGTCAACTGTTCCTTTGTGTCTTGGAGGTTGGGTAAAACTGAGATTCTGATTGTAGAAAGCATTTTCCTCTATTAAATGTTGCATAGCATTTCCAACATTTTTAATATATCTTATGATATCTTCTATAGCTCCTATTTCATGGGCAAATGTATTACACATCTAAAAACAGTCTTGTTCTTATTACTGTAATCTTTAAATTGTCAGGAAATATTGTGCTACTCTGTTTTCAGGAGCATTAAAGATTGTAAAAGCTGGAAGTAACTCCCTATTGCTAGCCTCTTTAAGCAAAATATCCGTTGCTATTCTTCACCATAACCAGCTAATATCAGTCATTATCTTTAATATCAAATTTTAAGAAATGTCCAATAAAGGAGACCTGTGTGATAAAAATGATGGGAGTGTGTCAGTCTCTGAATAAGAAATCAACTGAAAAGATATATCTGCAAGCTATGCAAGCAGTGACAGCTTGAAGGAAGCACTAGAACTGTCCTGCAGAAACTATGGAGCTTTCTTCTGTCACATGCTATGGGTACTACTTGCCGTGGTAGGTAACTGATGTGCTTTGTGTCCCATGGTTGAGAGAGAGACTATGTGGCATTGCTACCTGAGAGGCCGGTAATATTTCAGTGAGTATGTGACAGGCTTTGTGGGCTGGTGCTATCCAAAACCATTTCTAACCCCAGCTGCATTGCCCCAAGTCTTCTAGCCACGTGCTATTTTGCTTTCAATAACTAAAACCTTAAAGAGTCTGTATGTGTGTGTGTGTGTCTGTATGTATTCACAGCAAACCAAAAAATAAGAAAAGTACATGCTCTGCTAATAAAAACCAGTCAGATCTCATGGAAGACTATGCAAAATCATAGACCTCTCAGTGCCTTGTGGACATCAAACTTCTTTCCTAACTTTCATTACAGAATCTATCTAGAACCTAGTGAGGATGCTGCATAAACTTTGTGATTATGGAAATGTATATTTAAATTCAGTTTGACTTGAAAAACCTTGATATTTGTTCAAGGATTCTGCCAGTGTGTGTCTCAAGCTGTTTTATGGCACTGCTTTTCATTAATTATATTTTGACAGAAGAAATTCTCGCTTTTTTTTTTTTTTTTCAGACTGAAGAACAAATGAGCCTCTCTGAAGAGCAGATTAAGACCCTTCTGGAAGAATGTATGCAGCCTCAGAGAACAATAAGTAACGTTACCATGCCACAGTCTCAGGAATCTCTTTCTTTTGGATTAAGTCCCCCCTGTTACACAAGTCAAGACTCCACTCTTCACTCTACATCTAGTCTTTCCAAAATGTTAGTTGAAGACCATATTGTAGGGATGTTAATGGCTCAGGAAAAGGCTGGACTTGAAGACAAAAGCTTATGTGTTAATGCAGAGAGCAAAATCCCTGGCTACTATATCAGCAAAGCATTGGCTGGTAGTCACTTATCAAAGGATTCACTGGCCCAAACAGAGGAACCTGATGACCTAGAAGGTTTACAGAAGATGGAAGATAAGAGTATTACTGAGGGTTACTTTATGTCAAGAGCACTCAACACAAAAAGATTGAAGAAACCTTCTTTCTTGGGTGAACCATTATATTGCATCAGCATGAACAATGAGCCATCCACAGAGGCTGACATTCTCAGCATACCACTGCAAACCAAAGGAGGTGAGACTCTTAACAACCCTTTAGAATAGGCTTTTGATTATAATGAAAAACCTAAGCAGGTTCTCACCAAAGGTATGCACCAATACACACTGATTATTATGGTGGGACAAGAATGATCTTTTAGAAAACATGAAACTGTGCCAAAAGAAATACGCACAAAATAACAGAATGTTTATTAAAATTCTTACTCTGAAATAATTGACTAGGAGGTTTATGAAATATATAATTGATGTTGATTTATTCTGTCAGCTGGAAAACAGTGTTGAAAATGCATATGGATTACTTTTTGGTAGTAGAAAATCATGGTCACTGTTCTGTGGAGAGCAAATATTCTCACAGTAGTTGGTACAAAAATTCAGATGAAAATCCAGGTGTTTCATGAAAGTTTTTAATTAGGTAAAATTAAATTTTTTCACTGGTATTATAAAAAGATTGTGGAAATGTCTCTTGTTTTTATGTTCTTTACATATATGTAATTACACAGTGATATTGCAATCTAAATCTATATCTATATTTAGATTTTTAACCTAAGACTAGTTCTCTTCCTGGGAGGCCAGCTGATCAAATAAGCCAGATTTTAGGCAGGTAAACTTTTCATTTTTTTCATAAAAGTTATGACAGTATGAAGTTTGTGGTTATAGTGCTACAATCAAATCTTATTAGAAATCAATACATTTTGCTATGTTTGTCAATTGATCTTTGTTATACTGGAAATCTGTTCTGGATTTAGAGAAACTGGTTTTTTTCACATGCATCAGTAATTTAAAAGAACATCCTAATATCCCTCTGTTATGTTATAATTTTGTAATTATGATCACAACACTTTCTTTGCTTGTAGTTAATCTTTCTACAGTGAGAGGAATGTTTATATTTTTTCAAGGCAATTCTGCCTGTCAGAATGCAGGAAGTCTTGTTATTGCTGTTTTTATACTGACAGACAAAGCTGATATCCGTACTTGACTGCACTGTTTTCCCCTTATGAGATTTAAGCGATAGCTTCTACGTGAAGAAAATAGAAATAGTACCTGTAGAAAAGGTTGGGTGGTTTTGGTGCTTTTTTTGTATTTTTTGTTAGATTACTTATCCGCTGCCTTCACAAGCTGTCTTTGCTCGTCATGTAGATGCAGGCATCAGAGGAGCAGAGTGAGGGGAGACAGCGGTCTGCCCAGAGGAGAGCACGGTGGCAGTGGTGGTCATGGGGAGCACCACAGAGATCACCTCTGCCAGGGACAGCCTGATCTCATGCAGGAGTAACATGATTACATGCTACACCACCTAGTTTCTTTGGCAACCAACAGTGAGAAAAACTCAGTAACTTGCTGCCTTCACTTGAGTTAAAATTCTCCTTTAGCCCAAACAGATGTAGCACGGTCAGAGCCAAGCGTGACTCAGCCCCACCTTCCACCTCCCACCTCCCATTATGAGTGGGTTTTAAGAGGGGATGTGTTAGATCAAGGAAATACTGTGACCACTGGGTACTGAAGTGAGCAGGTAACTGTAGATAGAGTCACTGTGAGGTAATTTTACTGCACAAGAGAGGAAGGAGATTTTCACTATTAAGTGAATTTCCATATGGGACATCTCATTGTAGAAGTCTACAAGGTGAATGAGTTAACAGTTATCTCATAATAATTTAAATATCTTTGAGTCAAAATCATGCGTGTCAGAGTAATGTAATGGGGTATTTAGATTATCTGTTTTCAACAGTGAATGAAACAGATGATGAGTAATGTTTAATCATGTAGAACTCAAATCTGCATGGTTAATAAGCATCTTGGTTTTATGATGTTTTTGCTTACCAGTTCTTTCTTTGAGAGGGGAAATATTCTGAATTTTCAGTCCCTGATTATTTTTCGTTTTTAACTAAGGAGCTAATTAATTTGTTTCCTACAAAGGTGACTCAGTTCTGTCTGAAGCAATTAGTCCTGGACATAGGCCAAAGGATGTGTTATTTATCAAATTTGTGAACTTGCTTAACATATTCTGTAGATAATTTGCTCGTTAGTTCAGACACGATTAAATGTGCTAATTGTATTGGGAAATGGAGATCCCAGTGCAATCCAGTTTAAGGCAAATACATCTAGAGATGAAGGTATGAGAAGTGTCAGGTGTTATTGTCATTTGTAAGAGATATTTACATAGCTGAGTTTTGTTATTGTCTTAATTGTAAAGGACATTTAAATATGTATGCATAATCTTCTGCAAGTAGCTTGATTTTCTTGCCTGCTCTACATATGGTTTAAATTCTTTGTAGTGCTGGTTAAGCAAATAAAATAGTGTGAAACTAGTTTAGCACAATTTCAGTTTTGCATTCTTTATGGTACTGTAGTCTGTGATACAGATTTACTGTAATACATTAAATTATAGATATATCTATTTTAAGGAAAGCATAATTATTAGCATAACGCATATATATGTATGTATTGAAGGAAATGCTTGTGTGCCTTCAAAGATAAATAATGCCTGTTTCTTGAAAGAAGCACTAACCTATACCCAGCTCGTATGTACGTAAACATAGATGGTGTTTACTGAGGTTAACAGAATCCAGACTTGCCCACATGCAGAAATGAAAAGGCTGTTATTTCTCATAATTGTATGAGCCAGTAAATAATTATTTCCAGCTCTATTTTGAGGGGCTATATTAAGGTTTAAGTAGAAGTTATATCACAACTGTTCTTATATTTTTCTCTTACAAATAATGTTGTGCTTACAGCAGCTTAGCACCTTTTTATTTTCTTTTTTTTCAGATCATATGAACATTGAAATTTGAGGGGAGAGTGACAGTATGCTTCTCTGCACAACTGTGTTCCAAAAGTGTAGCTAAACCTCTATCATTGTTATTACACTGATACAGTACCATATAAAGCAACCTGATGGGAATAAATTATCATAATTGAAAATTTCCATGAGTTGATTTTTTTCTTTAGAGATAATTATTATTCTCATTGTCATATATTTTTGCAGTTTGATTTCAAAATAAACTCTTGCATTTCATTAAATTTCCTGGATGTGTTCTGCCTAATAAAGAAATGTACACAGATATTGTGTAGCTTTGTGTATGGTAAGACATGCCTGTCTTGATCTGTAAAAAATAAAACGAAAAAACCAACTAAATTTTAAAATTTTAGTATTTACTGATGAGGCTTTATTAGAGAGGGTGTGCAATATATATAATAATTTCATTTTTCTTCACACACACACACAGAGTCTGGCTTTTTCGTGAAGTTAGCTAAATTGTGGCTTCTGTTACCTCACTGCAGTTTGCTGGAGCTTGCAGTCTGTCTGACAGTCCTGACTCAATGAAGCATCCCATTACTCAGTGTTTTGCCTGGGGCTGTCTCTTGGCTGGACCAGGTTTGGTTGAGGGCTTGAATTGCACAAGTGCTCTGCTGGATCAGAACATCAGCACCTGTCTGCTCAGGTCTGCCTGATTCTTGTCTGGGAAAACAACAACCACACGGCAAACATTTGTGTCTTCCAGTTAAGAAATGTAATTAAATGAGGAAGGATGGCAGCCCCTGGTGAAGGCTTGGTGGGAGTAAAAGTGTAGGCATTCAGAAGTTTTCCCTAGCAGCTACTAGATTGTGAAACCTTGTAGTGATGGGGGGAGGGTAATGCAGCTGGTTTGGGTTTGAGGTAACAATTCATTACAGGCTTTTGATCGTCTAGTCTTTAACTAGTATTTCTTCCTGATTTTTGCCTTATTTACTCAGCTGATGGTCAGTTTTCCATTTCATGTGCTGCAATATCAGAATAAGAAAACATTATTAAAAAAACATGGTTATTTTTAAAAACTTTTTTTAAGTGGGGAGAGATACTCTAGCAAAGAAGATTCAACAGATTTATCCCATTTACAAGCTCTCATGTGACTTAACCTAAAAGGACAGATTATTTCTCAGATCCTATACCTATAGTCATTTAACATTCACCAAGAAAAGATGTATAGAGAGAGTATTAACTATACATGGGCTGTTATTGCTTAGGGTTTACTTGATCTAATATGAATGTTTAAATTAGTGTGCATATTGGCTCAAATTTTAATCTAATTTACAGAGTTGTCAGTAGGAGTGGATGCACACTTCTGGAGAAATTGAAACTGTGTGGATATAACAGAGATCAGAATCTAATCAACTTGCTTTTAGTTAAAAATATGAATGGGACATTGTATCTGCAACAAGAAATCGCTATTTCTTTTCTGACTTTCTGATATTTTTACTTGTTCTTCAGTACACAGGAATAACAAACCTTTGGACAGTGCATGTTCTGTGTAGGATTGCTGTAAGCAAATTCATGGAACTTTTCAAATCTCACCTACATCTTTTTTTTACTGTAAAAATATTAAGCCTGTGTCATAGTTTTGTTAGCATAAATATAATTGAAGAAATACTGACAAGCATTTTTAAGAGTATTTTCTGTGCCTGTATGATATTCATTCAGGACAGTCTGCTGGCTCTAATCTTTCCACAGTCCAGTTATTTTCACATGGAACTTGTGTTCTATAGAGACCTTCTCAAAAAAAGTGTTTCAAGTGCTTGGGCAGTTTTGGAAGAAATCTAAATTATGTTTAAAGATTATATGTATAATATCTAGAGAAAATTAAGAAAAATACTAAGTAATTCTTATTTTTCTTGTTTTATTTTCTTATCTTGAATCTCTCACTGCTGTAAAACAGCTTTTGCTAGCACCCTCAAGGAAGGGTTGCTGTTGCTAACAAAGACAACATTCCTGAAACCACACAACTTTTTATTTGCATCTGGCATTTCAGGGATAAGCAGGTAAGTTTGGGTGGCTATTGACTTGAAGAGTATGTTCCAGCAGGAGGTCTGTAACTCAACTTTTAGTCTTGAGAAGTGCTGAGCACCCTGCACCAGTTGTGGTCACTGCAAACCACTGGGACCTAGCACTCATGGCTTGCTATTCCAGAGGTGTGTTGGGTCAACACCCAAAGCTCAGAGACTGTAAAAAATTAATGACCTAATGTTTATCTGTACTTGGTTTCCACTGCATTATATTAAACAACAGGTTGTTT